TTATATTTTCAGAGTTACGTGACTTTAAAGGAATTTCCCTAGATATTTGACTTGAAATATAAATCTTAATGTTTTGATTCAACTCTGTTATAGTATCAGACGAAAACTCATTTATGGAGGGAAAGACAGAACAATAGAGAGTTTGAGGCCAGCATAGGCAAATGGAGTGCCAAGACCCTGTCTCAAAAACAAGATGAAAAAATAAAAAATCAAAGGGTAAAATGGCTAGGGGTGTACTTCAACTGCAGTACATCACTTGCCTAACAAGCCCAAGACCCTGGATTTAATCTCTAGCATCAATAAAAAAGCAAAGTGTCAGAACTCTAGAGTTTATTAAACTTTGTTATTGTTTGGACCTTAAAAGTCCCTCAAAAATCTCTTGTGTTGAAGGACTGGTTCCCAATGCAGCGATGTTAGAGGCAGGGCTTTTGGGAGGTCATTGGAATGTTAGGCCTCTAATCTCACTAATGGATTCATCTACTAATGGATTCATGGCTTAATGGGCAACTGGGAGACAGTGGAACCATTAGGAGATGGGGACTAGTTGGAGGAAGCAAGCCACTGAGGGCACGTTCTTAATGGGTATATTTTGTCCCAAGTCCCTTCCACTCTCATTTCTCTTCCTGACCATAAAGAGGCAAATATCTTTTATCCAACATGTGCTCTCCACCATGATGTTCTGTCCCAGAAACAACAAAGCCAAGTGACCATCAGAACCCGTGAATGAACCAAAATAAATCTTTTCTCCTTTTAAGTTGTTTATCTCAGGAATTTTCTCACCATAAGAGAAAGATAACACATGGTTTATGCTAGAATTATTAAAAACTGGTAATACGCAAGAGAAAAGAATGGGGAGGAAAGAAAATATGGGAAAATGGACAGTTATTTTCAGGGAAAAAGATATAAGTTGTTGATAAGTTACTGCAAATCACTGGATGTGAGCTGGAAAGGTCAAAATGACAGAAAGAATAAAAAAGAGAAATTATGCCAAAACTGAAAGTCTCCATAGACTTAAAATACTTATAATTTGTGATTTACAATAAAAACATCTCCCTTAAATGGAGATACTCAGCTCAAAAGGCATGAAGTTGGACAAGGAGCACATGAAGTTGAGATTGATTACTCCTTTTAAACTCACAAATCTCTACATTAACAGACTCTTAATTGTTTATCCATTGATTTTATTTTTCTTTTTGAAACAAAAGCAACAGACAAGTCTGGCAATTGAAAATTATAGCAAGTAAAAACATATTTTACCACCTCTTTCTGAAGTGGTCTAAAAGATAATTGCAGTCCTAGATAAGTCGTTATCAAAAGAAGGAAAAAAATCTTGCTCTCCCACCTATAAATTATTGGAAAAAGGAGGTCTACATTTTAAGTACAGCCTTAAGTGAAACAATAAAAAACAAGTGGACCCACCCATTTTATATTCACCTTCATTCAAATGAAACACTATATGCATCTTTTCATACTACCTTTCTAAACCAAATATTACATTTGGATCAGTAATACATTTTTCGCTGAATAAGTGTCTATTGACTGTTTTAAAAATGTAACTCCCAATTGTGCAAACAGACAGGTCAACAAAAAAACAGTATCAAAGACATAGTTCCCATCTTCTTGGCATCTTTCTCATCTTCATTTTATTAGGTAATATGGTACCTTTTTTTCATAACCCATGTCAAGAAAATCAAAGTTCATCTCAGATTTAAAAAATTTTTTTTCTCCTTTGATTTTATCGAGTTTACATTTACTTAGAAGGTGTGGGAAAAATTCCCTTGCTTCTAGGATCAGAGTCTGAGGAAACAATTATGTCTAAAACTGCTAACATACACTTTTCCATTTCCCAGGAATCAGGAGAAAAATGAACCAGAGAAATACAAAAGGAAATGGGTGACAAAAAGAGAAGGAAAGAGAAGAAATGAGGAAATAAAGACCTACGTAGAGAAAGCTAACAGGAAAAGATGTAATGATATCATTTGAACCTATGTAGCCAAGCTGGGCACAGAGGCAGCTTTACTCCTGGAAAATCCACTTAGAAATGCCAATAAGTTATTTTCTTTAGACTGGAGGTTTGCTCAAGTGGTAGAGAGCCTACTTTGCAAGCACAAAGCCCTGAGTTAAAACCCTAGTCCCACCAAAAAAAAAAAAAATTATCTTCTTTATATGTTTTAACTGATTTCTGTAACTTCCAACTGAGTGATTTCAAACTAAGTCAGAAATCCATCTAAACTTTTTGTATTATTCCATCCAAGAATGTACAAAACCTATTTAATGTCATTAATAGAATTTTTGTGCATCATTTTAGAATTCAAAAATTCTCCTTCACGGTTAAACAAATTACAAAAGTAATTTTAAAAGATAAAACAAATGTATCCAATAGGGAGAGAACATAAAATTATCAGTAATTGCTTAGGATGCTTAGGCAAGGCATGCAATTATTATCTCTGAAAAAGAAAAAATGACTCCCACTATCTTGAGTAGTATTTCCTCAGAGACATAAAAGATCTTATCTAGTATAAAAAGACCCAAGTCAAAACATCTACTAAACTATCTGACATTCTGTTAACATCTATATTTTCACCCAAGGTTTATATTATTACCGTTGAGGCTTATAATATGTGGCAGGATCACCATCTAAAGTGATCAGTTTACTCACTTACTATATGGACACACTGCATTTGAATGTGTTATTCCCCAATAATTAACTAACTGAAAAATTAAAACCACAGTGAAAGTGGCTCAAGTGGTAAAGCACCTGCCTAGCAAATGCAAGGCCCTAAATTCAATCCCCAGTACTGTCAAACAAACAAAACACCTCAATGAGATACCACTACATACAACCAAAAAGCTTTAAATAACACTATAATATATAAAGATATAAATTAAAAATAAAAATAGTAGAGAAATTAGATCACACTGGGTTGTTGGTGGGGATATAAAATGACAGTCACTCCAGAAAACAGTTTGGTAATTTCTTAACAGGCTAAACACACAAAATACAATGTGATCTGGGAAATGCATTGATGGACATTTATAACAAAAAAAGGAAAACTTATGTTCACACTAAACCTAAACACCAATGTTATTATAGCTTTGTCTGTATTATGGATAAACTGTTCCCCTGACCCTCCCAACTCATATGTTGAAGTCATAACACTCAACTGGAGATAGGACCTTTACATTTAACCTTAAGGTTAAATGAGGTCATAAAGGTACAGTTCTAATCTGATAGGGCTGAAGTCCTTATAAGATGAGGACAAGACTCCTGAAGTCTCTTTGCATGCAAGCACAGAGAACAGCCAATATGGGGACACAGGGAAAATGCTGAAAGCAGATGACTGCAACATAGGAAGAAAGCCCTTACCAATAACCGAACCTGCCTTGATCTGCAACTTACAGCCTCCAGAACTTTGAGAAAATAAATTTCTGTTGTTTAAACCACCTAGTCTATAGGATTTTGTCATGGCAGCCTGACTAGACTAATGGCAAAATTCCTAATGGCAAAAACTAGACAAATAGATGTCAATGGGTGAATAGTTAAATAAACTGTGGTTATCCACATCATGTGTGAATATGCCCAAAAATGAGTGCCGTCCCCACAATGACCATGTACTCATTTGGTGTATCTGAGACTACACATCATGTTGTGGGAGAGGATGTAGATAGGAAAAACTTCTTTATTCCTGCAATCCAAATTAAAAATGAACAAAGTATTTATTTCGAAATAAGTATGATAGAAAAATGAGAGGTCTGATTGATTTATTACTGTACACAATAGCTAACGATGCTTTGATATGAAATTTTTAAAGTTAATATATAATATAAAACTAATTGTTTAGCTCTATACGCTGTCAGTCTGGTCTGTCTGTCAGAATTACCTGCACAGCATGAAAAGTTATCTTCAAAACGTCAGTATCGGGATTCCTCCCTACAGATTGTGATTTAATGAGATTCCACGGCATTCAGATGTTGAAGAATTTCTACAGATCATTCTGATACATCAGATGAAAACCACTGATACAAGATATACTGAGAATCTTATTCTATTATAAGAGCTTACTTGAGAAAACAAGTTAAAATTGTAATAAAGAATTAATTTAAAAAGCAATAAAGGCATAAGATACACTGTGTGATTTAAAAAATTATGCTGCAGAAACATTTCCTTGACACAGAAAGATGTATGTTAGTATATATACACATAAAACAGTATGATGTAACTCTACTTCTGTAAAAAGTACATATATACAACTATATAGAATGGTTCTTTTGTGGGTATCCTTCACATTGCTTTATGCTGCTCATTTTGCTTGCCTATATTATTTGATATTTCTAAATTACTTCGTATTACTAATATATTAACAAAACCCAAAAACCTTCATTTTGATGATGGAAAAATCAACCTTGAATAACATATACATATACATGTATATACATTTTTTAAGTTAACAGACTTTTTATTTTTAAATAGAGCAGGTATGGCAAAATCTTACCAAATGGTGAATCTAGGCCAAAGTGAAGGGTATATGGATAGTACTATTCACGCAGCTTTTACATAGGTTTGAACCAATTCAAAATTTAAAGGTTATGTGAAATAAGTTAAAGAAAACACCTCAGAATTTGTTCCTTCCCCTTCCAAAAGTATTTTATTGTAAGTCGACCATCTGATTTATCAGTATATGAACTCTTTAAAAGATTTTACTTAACTCAGCTTATATATGTTAAACCAAAAACCTGAAGTGACCAATATAAACATGAAAATAGAGATTACAGGCAAAAACATATGTAAACATGCTTAATACATAGTATGTTTAATGAAGGAATATATGTAAACATGTTTTTTAAAAATTTAAATGTACTAGTGTATATCTTTAGTAACCAATTACTTATATCTCTGTATTCTATTAGCCAAAACTTTTAAAAATAATTTTTCCAACACAAATCCATTTGCAACACATACCAATCATCAAAAATATCAACTCTATATATGCTCACCTCACCTCATCTAAGTCTTGAATATAAACTGGCTTTTCCTCAAAGCCAACTGGCATTGGTTCACTGTAGGGAATCCTTATTTCTTCATAAAGTTTATTATTCTCTCTTTGGATTCCTTCTGGCAAAATCATCTACAAACATCAAACACAAAAATCCAATTATAATAAAAAAAGGTAAAACAATTGCTCTGGTAAAGATTTTTTAGAGACAGAGTCAAAGAGAGACTACTATTGGTTTTATGATTTAGCACTAACAAATTTAGCTAATTTAAAGTAAAACAAATCTAAATAAGACAAATTTAATACACATAAAACATTTAGGTGTCAGTTGTCTTATGTGATCACAGGTGACTGTATATTGACGAATCTTAAAGATACATTAGTTACATGGCATCCCTGAAGACCAAGGAATTCACGTAACTATGAAAATGTTAAATACATAGTATAAAACTTAGTCAGTGATGTAACAAATAAAACTCAAAAATATAAATTGCTACAATAAACAGAAATGAAGAAGTATGTCTGATTGCATACTTAAGATACACAGCAACAGCTCATTTTTCCCACTATTTAAACATACAATTTAGCAAAGAAGAGTCAACTGGTACTATATTCACAAGGGAAAAATCTATGTGTCATTTCCTCAGAATAGACATATTTTCAAAAGCGATTATGTACCAGTGGCATACCTTTGCACCAGCAATGAATGCTGATGTTTTCCTGGCTTCAGCCTGGGAATCATAAACATGGGGATAACGGATCTTTTCAACATCCATGTCTCTCTGCCTGCTCAGAAGTGGAGCGCTCCTAGCATTCAGCAGTGCCTGCTCTCTACAAATACAAAAATAAGAGGACAAGTTTGACATTTTTATTTTAGAAAGGAAAACATATACTCAAAAAAAGACCATTATAATAATTATTTCAGGTAGCTTCCATTATAAAAGAGCAGAAATTATAGTATACAAAGGAAGAAATTAACAATCCAGAATTTAGGGTTGGGGGAACAAATAGGATTCAGCACATCTTTAGGTACTATTCTTAGATAGTACTCAGTAAGTTTAACTTAACTCTACATAACTTAACTGAGAGGTGGGAGTACATGCCTAAAAACAGTTACCTCTAAAATCTAAATCTCTCACCTTAAGAATATAATCCAGAATACTATAATTAAGCAGTTGATTGCTTTTTTAATCTCAGAAAATCGGGTATTTCATACCACAAAATTCTATTCTTATAAGAAAATGGGCTTATAAGCAAAAATTGCTTCTATTGCTGAAACTAAAAAATGGTAATGATGTGTAAAATAAGTTACTGCAATACATTCATTTTTCAGTATCTGATACCTCAGTGTACGTAATTCCTTAGGATCAAAGGACGAAAGTCCTTCTCCAAAAACTTCTCCATCTTCTCCACCCTTTTTTTCTCGTCTGGCAATTCTTTTTTCTTCACGACGATATTGTTTCATTAGCTGTTTTTCTTGTTCAGACTGAATAGTTACTTGACAACCATAATTAGGTTTAGCATTCTCTCCTAAAATTTTTTTGCAATTATCTATGAAGCAAATTTTAAAAATATAATGAATTATAAATCTCAGACATGATCTAACTTTATGAAAACCATTTCTCCCCCAACTAAAACATAAAACAGTACAATACTCTACAATTCACTTTTTAAAACTGGTACATTCAATTACATGTTTTACAGGCAATTATTAAAAATCACAAGATCTAAATAATATTAGATAGTGCCTTTAAGAAAAGTCAACAGTATTTTCTTCCTGCAGATTCAATACTTTAATGTTACTAACATCATAAGTTTTTACATATAACATCAGAATTCAAATTTACAATTTAGAAATAATTCTTATATAATTTCAAAAATATAATTATCAATATTAATTGGTATTTGTTGCTAGCATAATAAAAATAAAAACCTTTACATATCAGATATGGCTATTCTTTATGCAATAGGCCTTATTCTACTAAGTTGTATATGTTACTAGTTATTCATATTCAAATAAAATTTATTAACAGTAGCTCAGGACATACTTATAGACAATGACCAAAGCATATAAAACAAACTATGATCTACCTTTTCATGGACATATAGTTTTAAAAAAATAAAGGAAAAAGGCCAGAACCACTAAGGAAGCCAAGTCAATCAAAACCCAATGTTTACAAAATACATGTTAAGTGTGTTGGATGCTCAACTCAGAATTCCAGAAAATCTTTCCAAGTCCTTGCATCCTGGCCTACTGCAGCCCTAAAGGAACTGAAAGGAGTGTCAGTAGAAGCAATCCAGGTCAGTAAGCATTAGTTTTGTTGAGGACCTATACATCCCAGGTACTGCTAGGACGACATGGTCCAAACTCAGACAGAGCACAGTCCACATTATTTCATCAAACTCCAAACTCCAAAACAGAACATGGAAACAATTAAACACAGCATCAAGATGGGAAAATTGGGTTTCTAATTCATTCCTAATCAAATCTTGAAAATTCTCAGACAGTTGTCACTGCCTCCTGATATGATTTCAAATAAATCATTTAACTCTGAGTTAAATGAAGTAACCCCCCTGTATTATGGCCTTATAAACTTTAAAAAGGAAAGTGTGTCACAAAATTATAAAATAAGATATAATTCCATCTATTTTAAGACCAAATATGTTTTGAAAAAATTTTTGTTCTTAAGTCTTACATACTTTACTTTCTACGTAAGTCTTATATGTTTATAATGATTGAATTTATGATTAACTTTCAGTATCAGAAAGCATCCATATTCTGAAAGTTTTAACATGTAGTACGAATTGAAAGAAAAGTGAAACTGTCCACAAATCACAATCAACAGCACAGATATTAAGCAAAATGGTCTAAAATGTGAGTAATGCCATTTAGTTATCAAAAATCAGGGTTAAGCATTTTAAAGGGTGAAACTGTAAATGCTTTGGATGACATAGTAAATGCTATGTGCTAGTATCATTAACATTTTAAGCAAATGTTATAGTAATAAAATACTATTGTTCATATTTGTGATCATCCAAACAAGGAAACTGAAATTCTAAGATAGTATGCCTTCCTCATTGAAAGATTGGTAAGGTCTCAACCAGAATATACCAGAAACATGCAATACTGAAAATAAATAGGTGACTTTTTTAAAAAGTCAAGTTGTAAAGCATCAAATGCTTAAATGTATGGCTCCTCTTATTGAGTTATATAAAAGTTGACAAACAAATGATTAGAAGTAATTATAGCAAAAAAATTTTACTGAAGAATAATATAGAAGCTTATATTCCTTTAGAATATAATTATGACAGAAAAAAATCTTGTACAATACTCAAAATGTTGTCACATGACAGCATGTACTAAGGTAGTTTTGATTATGTAATACCCAACACTAAACATTCTCCACACCTCCCCTGAAGATAGAATTTAATTCACAACTATCCTTAACTTAAAGGTCAGTATACTGTACTGTGTCATTTCTCATTTACCTTACATTTCCTGGCTATAAGAATAGTGATGTAGGGTGCATATAAAAATGAATTTAAAAGTCTCAAAAAAAGCATCAATGAAAACAAACCATTACTCTCTAAGATAGTTATTTTAGAGAACCAAGAAAAGAACAGAATATGGTTCTTGCTAACTACCATTAATGAAGAAAAACTACAATTTGGTAGTTATATAGAAGAATCTTGGAGTATCATTAAACACAAAACATATAAATGAATGGTAGCAATGATGAAATAACATTGTTACTTCATCAGTCTAAAGATCCCTTTCAGGAAGAGTATTTCCTACCCCTCAAAAAAAATTTAAGGAAAATAATTTTTCATGCTATATACAACAATAAACTACTAAAAATTTTCCAAAATATGCTAGTTGTCAAATTCTTTATTACAGACCTTAGAAAATGTTAAAGTTTATTTAAGTACCCCAAATTTACTAGCGTATAATCATCATTCTTAAATAGTACAAACGCTAACAATGATCCAGTATAGAAATAAAGGGTAAACGCTGAGAAAAATAGAAAACACTTCAGGGGAAAACAGACAGATCAAATATGTATTTATTTATTTATTAGTATGCTTCTTTGTCTGTTTTTGAAGGGAAGAGCTGGTACTTGGTTTTGAACTCAAGGACTCATGCTTGCTGCTATGTAGGTGCTCTACCACTTGACCTACACTCCCAGCCCTTTTTGCTCTTTAGTTGTTTATGGGATATGGTCTCACATTTTTACAAATTCCATGCAATCCTCCACCTTATGCTTGACACCAAAACTGGGATGACAGGCACATACCACGACCCCCAGTTATTGAGATGGGTCACAATGGCTTTTTGCCTGGGCTGACTCCAAACCACTATCCTGTCAATCTCCACCATCTAAATAGCTAGGGTTATAGACAAGAGCCTTGGCACCTAGCCTCAAATATATTTTTTAATAATTTAAATTTGGTATTTTTAATTAAAAAGTATGCTGCTTCTAAGAAGTTATACTAGTAAAATGAAATTTATGATATGAAAATTATGAACATGAGATAACTACGCATATAAAGTTTTCAAAACATGTGAAGTTGGACTATCTTTAACATCAATAATAAATTATAACTTTAAAAAGTTAGAATCATGGCTAGCAGAGTGGCAAGTGCGAGGCCTTAAGTTCAAACCACAGTACCATCACCATCCCCCAAAAAAGTTAAAATCAGTATATATCTCCACAGTAACATTTAGGAGACTAACAGAGAAAAACAAAATTCTCAGAACCTACATCACAGGAGTAGAAATTTGATTCATTCCTTTTCTTCTGGCAGACAGAGATTTTAAATTTCCCTAAACACCACTGGCTCTCTACAGCATGAGCAAGTGATTATGAACTATCTATAGGAGAGCACTGCTGCACCAGGGCAGGTTAGAACTGTTCAGAACCAAAGACTTGCAGAAAAAACAAGATGATCAATTCCAATCTTTCAAGTTTCTAACAATATCAAAGCAACTCCAGGATTCTAAGGACATTTACTATTATTAAGGAAATGCATAAGAAATTCTGAACTTAATAAGAAATTCTGGATTTAAAGCAAAAAGAAATTCTGAATTTAAATCAAGGCTGTTTCTATAATGTCTTTTTTAGTGCCATAATCATTAAAAAAATTAACATCACTTATATAGAAAATGGATAGAAGCTGAGAAGTCAACATAGACAGATGATGAGAGGATCTAATTTCTTATGCTCATGTACCTCAAAAAATTTCAATCGGCAAGTCTGGCAAGGTACATTTGGGTAAAGGTACATTCAAAAGTTGAGTGGTATGAAGAATGTATTTTGTATCCATATGAAAATATCAGAATGAAAACTGTTGAAATTGTTCTAAGAAGGGAGAACAGGGAAAGAGGGAAAGTGATGGAGGGGGTAAATTCAACTAAGATATATTTTAAACACAAATGTAAATATAACACAGTACTCTCCTGTACAACTATTATATGCTAAAGAAATCATTAAAAAAAGGAAATAAAGGATAACTTGTGAACTTAAAAAGAAATTTCATTTTCCTGTCTGTTATTTGAAACCTCTGTGCATTGGATAATGTTTTTGTAATTTTGGCTTAAAATAACATGTAATACATGACACTAGAGGTATTCAACTTGCTGAGTGTGATAGTTGCATTGCAGTTAAGCAGAAGACTGTCACTGTTCTTAGATGTACGCTGAAGATTTTATACTGAAGTATCATGATGTCTGCAACTAGAGCAAAAATTATAAAAGAAGGGGTTCGTGTGCTTGTGCATATGTTCAGAGAAAGGGGCAAAGGGAGCAATATGTCAATGACTGGTGAATTCACATGAAGCATAAACAACTGCTCGCTATATTATTCTTGCATATATACCACAAATATGAAAAATTTCAAAATAAAAAACTAAAGAGAAATATAAGACTACAAATAGACTATATACATTGGCTTTAAAAAAATTGTCTCTTCTAAATGTTTTTACCTGTCACAATAAAAAAAGTCATACCCAAACACTCTCATGCCCTTCTATTTGGGCTATTTATATTTGTTTTATAAAATATATCCAAAATCTACTCAACGTAAATGGTAATAGTAAGTTAGAAAATAGACCAAAGAATATAAAAAGTATAATTATATTAAAAAGACCTGTTCACCAATGAATCTTTCTTCTAAATTAGAATTGCTTATACATACTTTCTTACCTTGAAGGACCTGAAACTTATGATCATTTGAAGAATTAAGAAATCTATCCACAATTGTAATTCTATTCTGGAGGAGCTTTTCAATAAGATCAAGGCCTTCTGGTCCCAGCAACTCAAATAGCTTTACAATGAAAAACAAACAAAATGCTGTTAACACAAATTAACTTTTGCAACTTATTAACACCCTACTCAACACAACAATGTCAAACTAATATAGAAGTAGTACCCATAGTTTAAGAAACACAATTAATTAACTTAAGGTAACTAAATCTTCACATTGCTAAGAAACCTTCAGCTTTATAAAGGCTATCTGCAGTTATATAATGAAAGATCAGGATTCAACTTTTAAAAATAATTATAATTTGAATGTATAAGTCTAAATTAAAAAATAATGAATTAATAACCTTTGTTTCTTTTGTTATATAAAAAGAAATTGTAAAACTTAATTTGCTTTTCAACATACTGTTCTCTTTTTTCCAAAGAACCCAGAATACCATATTCCAAAAGTTGCCATTTCAGACTTAACAATTGGATGTTTAATGAACGACTATATCACATTTTTGCAAGTATTTTAAATGCTTAATAAATCTGAAATCTAAAACACAGTGCTGCAAATGCTTTATGTAACTTTACAGAATTTTTCCAGGCATATTTTACTCTCCTATGCAGTAGTTTCCAAAGATTAAGTTGATTTCAGTCACAGGGTCAGTGTTAGGATTTAGAGATGTTTAATTGCATGAATGTATGATGAAACTGTTGTATAAAACGTCAATTTCTTAAAGTATGATCTGGGAATATATGTTTTTTCTTCCTTTTCAAAAATGTTAATACTCGGGGGAATCCAAGTTGGCAACTGGAACACAGCCACAGACCTTCTGACCTCCATGATCCAGGGGCTTTGATAAGAAGCTGGAGACATGCTTGGCTGAGGTAAAACACCAGGGAGAGCTTTAACATCAGCACTCTGAACCCCTAGCTCCTGGGTTATACTAAAAGAATTATACCACCTTATACTAAAAGAACAGCAGGCGCTGCACGTTAAGCCCCACCCCATAGGCCCACGGAGCCCTGCTCCATACAACATGGGATCTCTGATTCTCTGGCCCTGCTTCTTTGCCCCTCCAGGATTGTGCTACCCCAAACTCCCACCCCTCACAATGGCAGGATCTCCATGGAAGCCCTAAAGGCCGGGGATCCACAGACATTTATGATCTCCACCAGGCCACACATCCCCCAAGGCCTGCATAGCCCAGCAGGAGCTCTATTTTGCCAGGCTTTGCCCACAAGACCAGCCATGGAGGAGATACAAACACACACATCTCCTTTCAGCTGGGAAATGACCCTAAGGCCCACACAATCCTGCAGGAGCTCCGTTTTACTAGGCCATGCACCCCCAGACCTGCAAGATCTCTGCTCTGTTGAGCCATGCCCCAAAGCCTGTACATGCCTGCACACTATTCACTCTGCAATCCTGTGCCCCAAAGGTCTGCCAGCCAGGGACCCACACACTCACGATCTCCGTTCTGCTGGACTACACCCTCCAAAACTGTCAAGCCAGGGATCCATATGCACACAGGATCTCCAATCCATTGGCTGCACCCTTCAGGCATGCCAATCCCAAGCTCCAAAGTCCGCTACTTCACCTCAGCCAAAGGCCTCCACCAAAGGTCCGTGGGACACCACCCACCATTCACTTGCCACAGGAAAGCTGCAAACCTACCTAAGAGACATACACAGAAAGCTCTGGATGCTGAAAAACTAACATCAGAACAACTAAGACTGCAATTCTACTGTTCCAAAACTGGTAATTTCTTTTTTTTTTTAATTTTAATTTTTTTCTCCCTTCTTTAAGGGATTTGCTGACTGGTTTACTGTTTGATCACTCACCATCTCTACAACCTTTTTATCTGTTTTCCTCACTACTCTATTCCTTTTATCTTTTCATCTCTCTCTCTTTTTTATCCTACTTTCTTGGTTTTGTTAGTATCAATATTGTTACCCAGCCAATACTAAATTACACATGGTTCAGGGATAGAAATGTACCTACTGGAAGTATGGGAAGAAGAAAAAGGGAAGGAAACCATTCCCCCCTGAAAAATAAAGTAATACAGGATTTAGAGCGAAATGAAGAAAACAGATACCCAGACCCAGACTACAACAAAACAAAGATAGACTATACCAAGGAACCCAATGAAGCCAACAAAAACACACTGAAAGAAGAAATCCTACAAGTAAATAATGAGAATTTCATAGAGCGGTTACTAGACATGGTCAACCAAAATGTACAGGAAGCACTCAAGAGATTCCAAGAGGACAAAAATAAAGAATATGACAAAACACAAAAATAAATAAATGAAACCATAGCGCCCTAAATAAATGCCAAACTGAAACTGAGACCACCACAAACAGAGAGATAAACGAATTAAGGTCAAAAACTAACAATATTAAAGAGGAAGTAACCCATGATATGGAAAGCCTCAGAAAAAGAATGAAACAGAAACATAAAAAAAATAGAAAACCATTCCAGCAGAATAGAACAAACAGAATACAGAATCTCAGAACTTGAAGATGAAATGGCAATTAAAGGAAAAACTGAAGAACTATTAGTTAAACCACCCAAGACCTGTGAAAAGAAAATGCAAGAACTCACTGACTCCATCAAAAGACCAAACCTGAGAATCATGAGCAGAGGGGCAAGCAAAAGGAATGTGCAATATATTCAACAAAATAATAAAAGAAAACTTCCCAATTGTAGAGAAAAGTATGTCCATTCAAGGACAGGAAACTTCCAGAACACTGAACAGACCTGACCAAAATAGAACCACCCCACGGCATATTATCATTAAAACAACAAGTACAGAAACCAGAGACAGAATATTGAAGGCTATAAGGAAGAAAAAAAAATAACATACAAAGATTAACCCATCAAAATCATAGCAGACTCCTCAATAGAAACATTAAAAGTAAGAAGAGCAGGGAGTGAGGTCTTCCAAGCACTGAATGAAAATAACTTCAATCCTGGGATACTCTACCCAGCAAAACTATCATTCAAAATAGATGGAACAATAAAAGTCTTCCATGATAAGCAGAAACTAAAACAATATATGACCATCAAGCCACCACTGCAAAAGATTCTCCAAGGAATTCTGTGCACAGAAAAAGAATGCAGACAAAACCATGAACGAGCAGGCAATACCAAACCACAGGAGAAGAAAAGGCAAGAAAGTAAAGAGTAACATTGATTCAGCTACACACAATCAAACCCTTAATCAACAAAGACAACTACATGACAGGGATCACCACATATTTATCAATACTAACACCGAATGTTAATGGACTAAATTCCCCCATCAAAAGACACCGACTGGCAAACTGGATTAAAAAGGAAGATCCAGCAATCTGCTGCCTACAGGAGACCCACCTCATCGACAGAAACAAACACTGGATGAGAATGAAAGGTTGGAAGAAGATTTACCAAGCCAATGGTCCCCAAAAACAGGGATGGGTAGCAATATTTATCTCAGACAAAGTAGACTTCAAACCTACTTTGAACAAATGAGATAAAGAAGGACACTCCACACTAATAAAAGGGGAAATGCACCAAAAGGAAATAACAATTATCAACCTATATGCACCCAACGTCAATGCACCCAATTTCATTTTAGATCCTTCATATTCTGAAGGATCTAAAAACATATATAAATTCCAACAAAGTGGTAATGGGAGACTTCAATACCCTCCTATCACCAATACATAGGTCATAAAACAAAAAACCAATAAAGAAATCCTAGAACTAAAGTAAACCATAGATCAAATGGACCTAACTGATGTCTACAGAATATTTCATCCAACTTCTGTACAATATACATTCTTCTCAGCAGTCCATGGAAACTTTACCAAAACTGATCATCTCTTTGAGCACAAAGCAAGCCTCAGCAAATATAAGAAAATAGAAATAATCCAATGCATTCTGTCTGACCACAATGAATTAAAATTAGAAATCAACAACAAAAACAGCAATAAAAAATATCCAAACAATTGGAAGCTGAACAACACATTACTCAATGATGAATGGGCCACTGACAAAATAAAAGAGGAAATTAAAAGGTTCCTGGAAGTTAATGAAAATGAAAACATAACCTACTGGAACCTATGGGACACAGCAAAGGCAGTCCTGAGAGGAAAGTTTATTGCCATGAGTGCATATATTAAAAGGACAGGAAAATCTCAAATCAATGACCTAACACTAGAGCTGAACTCCAGAAAAACAAGAACAAACAAACCCCAAAACAAGCAGAAGGAAAGAAATAAAATAGAATCCAGGAAATCATCAGACACTACTTTGAGAGCCTATACTCTAATACATTTGAAAATCTCAAAGAAATGCACAGATTTCTAGAAACTTACACCACCAAAAACTGAACCAAGAGGATATTAATCACCTGAACCTATAACACAAAAAGAAATTGAAGCTGCAATCAAGAGCATACCAAAAAGAAAAGTCCAGGACCTGTCGGATTCACTGCTGAATTCTATCAGACATTTAAAGAAGAACTAATACTAACTCTCCTTAAACGGTTCCATGAAAGAGAATGGGAAGGAACACTGCCTAACTCATTTTATGAAGCCAATATTACTGTCATCCGCAAACCAGACAAGACACCTCCAAGACACAGAACTACAGGACAATTTCCCTAATGAGCATCAATGCAAAAATACTCAATAAAATAATGGCAAACTGAATCCAACAACAAATCAGAAAGATCATTCACTACGACCAAGTTGGCTTCATCCCAGGGATACAGGGGTGGTTCAACATACGCAAATCTATAAATGTAATACAATAGAAGCAAAGACAAAAACCACTTGATCATCTCAATAGATGCAGAAAAGTCTTTGATAACATCCAACACCACTTCATGATAACAGCTCTAAGAAAACTAGCAATAGAAGGAATGTACCTCAACATTGTAAAGGCTATATATGACAAGCCTACAGCCAACATCATATTTAACAGTGAAAAACTGTAACCATTCCCCCTAAAATCAGGAATGAGATAAGGGTGCCCACTATCCCCACTCCTATTCAACACAGTACTGGAATATCTAGCCAGAGCAATTA